CGAGACGACCTCATCCTGCCCTGGTTTTGCTGCTGCAAAGCCACATCTCCCTGTGCCACTGCCCACTTCGGATCCCATTCAGCCTGTGAAGGAGCTGCGTTTCCAGGAACTGCATCTGCACCGTGGCCATCGCTGCCTGGCATGTGCAGGTGTCACCGGAGCCCTTGCACTGCTCGCTCCTTGTCCCAAGCCCCACTGCAGCTCCTCACTGCCTGCAGCATCTCAGCGCTGGCCGTGTCCCCTGCAGCCTCCTCCTCCACCCCTCCAGCACCACAGGACCCCCACATGGGGAGGGCAACCAGAGGGAGTGGGTAGCAGCACTCAGCCCCAACGCCATCACCCATGGGAGAGCATTTCCAAAGCCTGCGGTCCCCAATGAGCTGTCCCAGCCAAGGGGCACCCAGAGCATCCCTCCTGCAGTGGGGCTGCCCGAATCCTGCACCTGGCGAGCTGCTGGCCAGGAGGGCCCCAGCAGGGAGGAACAGCACAGTCTGTGCTCTCCTCCTGCTCTCGTAGGGTCCTTCCCGCTGGGACGGCTGCCATCTCCTCCTGCCGACTGCCCCAGAGGTGCTGCCACCATCCCTCACCCCGGCACCGTGTCCCCGCGCGTGGGGAGCAGCAGGGCTTACCCTGAAGGCTTCTGTGGAGGGCTCCTCGCCTTTGCTGTTTGCAACGGGAGCAGGGTCGAGGGATGGAGTTGGCGCTGGGGCCACCTTCTCCTTCTCCTCCGCAGCCAGGCCGGGAGCCGCGGGTTTTGTGGTCTCAGACATCGCGGTGTTGGGCTCAAGTCTGGGATGGGGCAGCAGGCAGAGATGCCAGCAGCAGGTTAGAGGGGAGGCAAAGCTATGGGCACCTTGCCCTGCCCTGGGGACGGTCACATCGGGATGGGGGACTGGGAGAGGAGCTGCCGGGAGGTTCTCCAGCAGGTACAGGCAAGGGGTCCTGTCCTGTCTTCACCAGGAGGTCCCAGGTGTCCACACTCCCCTTCCATGGCCCAGAGAGCCCTGCATGGCCCCACCACTGCAGGGATGCCTAAGATGGCCCCGGTGCTCAGCCTCTCCCTGCTCTCCCTGGCTGGTTTGCGGCCTGATGCTGCACCAGCGCTGGGGCTGTCCTGCATGGGGTGTGCCTGGGAGCCCAGCTGGGCTCAGAGGCTGCGTGTGAGGAGGTGGGAAGGGGACAGCCCCGGTTTGCATGAGGACCTCCAGCAGGCACCCTGCGGTAAGCATCACCAGCAGCTGCTGGGGGTGCGGATAGTGGCGGGATGCTGAGCACCAGGATGCTCCCAGATGCCATGGCCATGGCTGAGACCCTGCCTTTCCCTCTCCCCCCCTCGGGTCCGGCTGCAGCCCGGTGCCCAGGGACTTTGTCCTCTTACCTGGGCAGCTGCTGCTTCTTGTTGGAGTGAGCGGGCTTGTGTTTCGGGGCGCAACGAGGCCCCCACTTTATAGCCTGGCAAGGGCAGACCCCCGGGCGGGCGCACAAAAGAACTGCCAACTCATCAGTGTCTGCGCGGCCGCCCAGTCATCACATCCTGCAAAGCGCTGGGCGAGCTGGAAGCCTCTCCCCGGCCCCGTGCCCAGCCGCTGAACCCAGCACTTTCCTTTGTGCCCGCGGCACAACAGAAGGCCTGACCGTGCCACTTTGCAGCGCGCGGCGGCACCCGTTGCCCCCCGTGCACGGCCGCCCCGACGGGGCATATATAGCCCTCACGCCACCCGGCCCGCGCCGGCACGCTGAAATGCACGGGCACCCCACGTCGGTGCCGCTGCGGGTGGGGAGGGTGCACCAGCCCCATGCCCCATGGCTGCATCAAGTCCAGCCCCATGGCTGCACTCTGCTCATCTCTCTCATCTAAACACTAAATCTCTATTTAAGCATCACTCCATACCTGCAAACACCTGAGTGTGCTGGCCTGAAGATGCCAAGATGCAAGACTTAAATGTTTTTGAATGCTTCAAGAGTTGTTCGGGGTTTTTCTTCTTTATTTTCCCAAATGATGTGTAATCAAAGCTGATGCTTTCCAAACCATCTCAGCCACTAAAACTTATGTTCTTTGAGGATGTCCCTGCTCACTGTGTCCACAGGCATGGACTTCGGTAGATTTTAGCCCAATTTAACCTGTGTTGTGCTCATTCTCCACCATCCCCAGCTTTGCCATTGTCACACTGTGCGGTACCAAATCCCACGGGGGGTTTCAGTGCATCAGTGTGGTCTCTGGCTGGGGACACGCTGCCCACCGCTCCCTGCGGTGGCTCAGCCCATGGTGCCACATCTCCTGCACCCCACGGCCACTCTCCGTGCCAGGAGTCATTTTGGGGTTCCCCTCTCCAGGCTCCCAGCGAGCCCCCGATCAGCTGCTGTCCCTGTTTGCCCACTGTGATCCCGCTCATTGTGTAAATCCCTGCACATTCATTTCCTCCCGGTCCTTTCCATCACCCTCAGCCTCCTGCAGCACCCAGCACCAGCCTGGGCAGGCTCCCCATCACTGGCAGCAGTCAGTCACCCCAGGCAGTGTGTTCGGGAAGAGATCCTCAGTGCTTCCATCATCTTTTGTTCCTCTCGAGTATGGCAGTTCCCTCGAGTCAGCCGGCAGTGGTGGGATCCAGCTGCGCCTCTGGGCTATTGCCCAAAATCCCAAACAAAACACATTCACTCATCCCTTCTTCTCTCCCTGCATTTTTATTGCAGGCATGGCTGGGTGTGGGTGCTGCTGCCCCAGTTCCCCTGGGCACTCCCCCAGTCTGGTCTTTCCCCTTGGCACTGGGCATCTTTTTATGATCCATGGCTTTCAATTTGCTTTTATTTTCACGTTTGTTGGACAGATTTCTATTTTAAGCTGCATTCTTTTCCTCTTGGAGCCAAGGTGGGTTTTTTAACCGCTTTGCCTTGCCTGTTGCTCTTGCACTGTCCCATCCTGCACCAGCCCCTTGCTGCACGACCCCATGATTTGGGGGGGAACCACCATGAGCAAAGCTTTAAAGCATTTAGGTGCCAAACACGTGGATGCAGCGAGGTCTTTTGAGGTCCCTGTGCTGAAGTCTTGAACTGCACCTTCAGTCCCTCAAACGCCTTTGCAAACCTGCCCCTTGCCTTCCTGTGCCCCTGGTCCCCGCTTGTTGTGATGCTCTGTGATTCCTGCATGCTCAGCCTGCAAAGATCTGCCCTGGCTTTTTTTGGGGAGAGCGGCTCTGCCCTAGCAGGGAGAGCAAGCAGAGATGGCAGGAGCACCAGCAGACCCTAGGGGCGATGCTCCAGCTGCGGAGCTGCAGGGCTGGGGGTCGGAGCCCGTGCCCGTGGGCCGGGGGAGCGGGAGCAGCAGCGTCCCGGCTCATCAGCTTCTCTGCAGCGTCGCCTTTGTTCTGCCCGGTCCCTCCTCCCCGCCATGTGCTGAGTTAGGGGTTTCAGTAATGCTCTCCTGGGCTCTGTCTCTATCTGGAGGCTATAAAAACCCAGCTGGAGGGCTGCTGGATATGCCTCCTTCTCGGGCAGAGCCGCCTAGCCCCGCGCGCCGGCGCCTAGCCCCAGGTAAGCGTTGCAGCCTGGCAGCAGCGGCCCCACACGGCTGGGTCCCGAGGGTGAGGTGGAGGGGGATCGGAGAGCATCGCTGGCTGTGGCAAGCGGCCACCTCTGGCAACTGGCCCTGCCCACATGTGGTGAGCGCAGGACGGGGCTGGCTGTGCTGGCACTGCCTGCACTGGAGCTCAGGGCTCTGCCTGCAGGAGGAGGGGCCTCCCTGGAGCCCAGTCCCAGGATCTGGGAGTCCTGAGGAAGGGCCAAGCCCCCAGTGCAGGGCTGGGGGGTCTGGCCAGGCTGCGGTGCACTGGCCCCGCAGGGTTTAGTGGTCCTGTTCCCCTGTGCCCCGGCAGAGCCACCATGAGCCACCGCTGCAGGAGATCCTCCGGTCTCTGGAAGGTACGGGAGCCTGGGGAGGACTGGAGATGCAGCCTGAGCCCTGTGAACATCCAGGCATGGGGGTGCAGGGTTTGCCTGGGGCCTCTGCACCCACAGAGCCACCTGACCCACTCCGTCCTCCCCAGATCGTGGTGTGGGACGAGGCTTTCTTCCAGGGCAAGAAGCACGAGTTCACCACTGACTGCTACAGCACCCCAGAGCATGGCTTCAGCACCGTCCGCTCCTGCAAGATCGAGAGCGGGGCGTGAGTGGGGGTCACAGGGGACTGCAACCCCACAGTGCCATGGGACCCCATGAATGGAGGTCTCCAGCGCCTTTTGCCACCTGAACCATTGCGCTGCCTCCTTTGGGGAATGGCCTTGTCCCTGCAGGGTGCAGTGGGCTTGAGCGGGGTGGTGGGCGGCACACGGGTCTCCCCCCCCACTCCCCCCCCCGGCAGGTGGGCAGGCTTCGAGCACTGCGGCTTCCAGGGGCAGCAGTTCGTGCTGGAGCGTGGCGAGTACCCGTGTTGGGAGGCGTGGAGCGGCAGCAACGCCTACCATGTGGAGAGGATGTGCTCCTTCCGCCCCATCGTCAGCGCTGTGAGTGTCCCCGCACCACCAGAGCCCACTGCCAGGCCAGTCCCCAGACCCCACTGCGGGCCTTGGGGGGGCCGGACAGGGCAGCCGTGCCGACACCATGCCCCTCTTGGCAGCAGGACTATGGGCGCAGCAGGCTGATGCTCTTCGAGCAGGAGAATTTCCAGGGTAAGCGGGGGGAGCTGAGTGAAGACTGCCCCTCACTGCCCGCCCTGGGCTGGGGCAGCAGCACCGTGGGCTCCTTCCTGGTCCGCTCTGGCGCGTGAGTATCCTGGAGCTGAGGTTGCTCCGGCATCTTCCAGGACCCTGACTGCTGCCTGCCACATGGGGTGCTCCATGGTTCTGGCAGCCCTGAGCCACTCTCTGCTCTGTCACAGATGGGTCTGCTCCCAGTACCCGGGGTACCGGGGCTTCCAGTACCTCCTGGAGAGTGACAGCCACGCGGGCGAGTACAAGCACGTGCGGGAGTGGGGGTCTCACGCGCAGACGGGACAAGTCCAGTCCATCCGCAGGGTCCAGCAGTGAACGCCGGTGCTGGCGCCGCCGTGTCACTGGAGCCGCCGTGTTTTTTTTTCCGGCGTGTCACTGGCACCATCTCTCCCATGAGGCGGTGGGGCAAAGCTCAATAAAGGCTCAGTTGTCCAAGGCCGCGCGCTGGCACTTGGGGAGGGGGTGCCAGGGGGGTTGTGTGGCCGGGGATGATGCTGTGCCTGAGGGCAGAGTGGGGGCTCTGCAGGGGCAAGGACTGGGGAGAAAAGGGAGCCAGCAGGAGCTACAGTGCAGTCCTCACACAGCGCTGCACATCCTACCAGCAAGGACTGGGTCTGTCCAGTCGCCGCACTGGCACAGGGGCTCTGCAGCACCCACACATCCCTGTCACCCCACAGACCCCATCCATGCTGCCAGCACCCACCTGAGGCCATGCTGCAGCTCCAGCAGTGCTGAGGAGGGCAGCGTGCAGCCATTGCTGAGCCTCAGCCCTGCTCAGGAGCTGGAAGGAACTGCAGGATCCAGCAAGACGCAGCTGCACACTGAGCACCCAGCCCTGCACCCGTGCACACCCCTTTCCTGTACCCATGCACACCCCATCCCCACACCCATGCACACCCATCCCTGCACAGTGGGCAGCATGGGCCAGCATCCTCCCTGCCTGGCCCTGTGTTGCCACAGGCAACCTGGACCAGCAAAAAGTTGTTGATGGCTGCTGATAAATCCTCATCTGCAGTGTGTGAGAGAGCAGTGGTTAACTGAGGCTTCAGATGGGACAGGGAGAGGCTGTTTGGGAAAAAATGCTCATTTCAGAAGAGCTCTGGAGAAAAGATGTGATGCAAATGTCCCATTCCTGATCTTTGCAGCAGATGGGCCACCATCAGAGGCAGTGCTGCCAGGGAAAGGATTCTTTCTGCAGGAAATCATAATTAAAAATGCAGAACAGAAGAAGAAACAAAAAGTTTTGGCATGGGCTGAGTGAAACCCCAGGGCAGATCTGTCTGGGGCCACCAGTTGGGGAGGGCTGGAGAAGCAGAGCTTGGCCACATGGCCACATCTGGTGAGAACCCAGATCCCCAGGAGGATGTGGGGAGCCGGGAGCAGGGTCAGGACACAGCCAGGG